TTGTATAGATTTGTCACTTGTAATAGAGATGTTAAGAGTATGGAAATTTGCAGTAGCTGCTAGAAAATGCTAAGGCAAAAGCTAGAAAAATTTTAATACAATGGTAGTGTTATAAAGCAGGTGATGGAACAAATTAAAGAGAATTCCACTGGTAAGGGGTCCTTCACTGCCATCAGAATTCCACTGGTAAGAAATTTCTTTGGCTAGTCCTGGTCATAAACTTTGCCATCAGCATCTTCAACATGCTGCTGCACCCTGTAATAGTTAACTCTGCTAATGTAAATTTGTGTGTGCCTTGCTGTAGTAGCGACTTGTTACTGGATAAAACAAAAGGGGGAAGATGTGGAGACAGTGTTCTCACAGGAGAATGCATAATTGGTACATAAACTTTGAACAGTCCTGAAAGATACAGCAAGGCCATGAGAGGCCTGAAGAAGCTTAAGCAAAGGAAGATAAGAGGCTGGAATTCACCAAGTTTAATGAGAACTGTGGACTGTTGGCAAGCTGCAAGCAGAGCATACTAGAGTCTACTAATGTCAGCTCTCTGTGTGCTATGCCGTTTCCAAGTCTTGATCCCTTCCATCAGCAAGCACCACAGACAGTGCCAGAGTTCAGGAGAGACTGCCACTGTGACATCTGGTCCAAAGGCAAGTCTTGTCAATTCTTGAATTTCCTTCATGAAGTGAATTCTTGTCGTTTCCTTCACAAAACGGCTGTCACTTTTCCTTTATCTGCATTTGGGAAGACTTGTCTCATGGAGTGTATTCAGCAACCAAGAGGCACAGAGCCTTCCTAACAGCCTCAAGAAACACTGCTTTCCAGACCCAGTGCTGCTCCTTGACATGAATATGTCTCTGGCTCTTCTGAAATCAGGAAGAGGTGGATCCAAACCCTCACCCTTGCAAAACAGACCGAGAAGTGAACCCAAGACCATCAATATGCCAGGAGACTGCTCCATCAACTGGAGTACTACGATAAAAGTGGGTAGCACCCTAAACCACTGCGGGTGGAGAAACCCAGACATGCAAGTGTGGGTGAAATATGCTCCAACAACCTAAGAAAACATCTCTGGAGGTCCAGAGGCTCAGCAGGCTTGGGAGTCCAGGTGGACTTAGGTTCTCCCACAGGACTCATGTGGGCACATGCAGGAGCAGACCCAAGCTCCTGGGCAATGGAAACAAAGTACCTCCAGAGTGTATTTGCGTTCATCATTAGAGGGCAGCCTAAGCAGAGCTGGGGTGCTTGGCAGCACAGTGCTGGACTAATGTCTGCAAACATCACGCTTCAAGCTCGGAAATGTCATTTGAATCTCATCCCCAGCTGTGAATCTCTTCCAGGTCCTGCCCTGCTGCTTCCTCTGCCAGATGCTGACATACTGGTGCATTCCTTATCCTGCACACTTTCTGTGTTCTACAGGAGTTCACTACCGGTATCAGAAGCAAAAATAGAGATAACCAGAAATGATCTGCTACAAGAAGTAGTTTAGCTTTGTAGGTGCAAACCCATGGCAGAAATGAATAAATAAGGGGAATCTTCTGACGGTGCTCTTCTCCTGCGCATGTGCTTGCATCTGCATTTTTATTTGAAGCCTTGTCATCTTCACAGAATATTTCACTATGTTCAAAAGCATAATTTTTAAAGGGCTCTCAAGAGTAAGAAACAACACATGGGCTTTTAGTCCTCTGCTGCACTAAGAATCATTCGCTTGTCAGAAGCCGCACTGCTCTCCGGATCAGCTGGTTCTGCAAACAGAGAAAAACCGTATTGCACGCGCACAGAAAATCCCCGAGTCACCTCTCTATATTCTGATTGATCTTCTCCATGTTCAAGCAGCGAGAAGCTGGGGGCCTTGGATGGGCCTTGCTGTTCAAGAATTTATGCCATCAGGCATAGGTAGCAGGAAATAAAGCTTAGGAATATAATGATCTAACAAAACGTTTATCAAGTGCCACTACTGCTCCTGCCCAAGCGGTGCCTCAACAGACCATGCCGAGGTGGTGCACATCCTCTTTCCGAGCCCTGTTGAGGTCCACGTGGGTATAAGGGACTTACACAAACAGAGCAGTTGTGACCTTACACTGCCACTTACATGCTATCATGAAGGCTGTGCCTGTCACAGGCACTGGCCCAGTACTGTGGCATTTGGTTAATATGGCCTGGTGCGCTTAAGACAAACCTCTGTTTCATCTCTTGATCCTCTGCAGTAGCTCACTTCATCACAGGCATCTAGAGGCCCACAGACACCTGGACTGGCATTCCTCTCACCTAACTATAGGTAACTGCTGCGTATGTTTCTACATCTAAGCTTGACAGCAGGGCTTCCAGGAGAGCTCAAGGGTCTACAGTCATGGACTGAAGCCTGTAGGTTGCGCGGTCCACACAGGCAGTGAAGTCAACAGCGCGGTCTCTTAACAGCCGCATACGGGTGGATGACTATAGTCCTTTGGCTTCAATGTGACACAGTGTTAAGCTTCTATTCGGTAGACTTCTGAAGCCAGGGGAGTTGAACCCTAGCCTCAGAAGTCCACACACCCTATTTCTGGTGGGAGTTAGCTCTCCTACGCTCTTTGAGGCACCAAATCTCCACAGCCTTGGCTGGCCCCAGCTAACTGATGTCATGGTTTATTGGTGAATTAAGGGCTAGGTATGATCTCAGTTGGATGCCAGAAGCAGTACAGGCACACACGTTGCCTTCCTTACCGTAAACACCAAGGAAGCCAACTCTAGCATGAAGCCCTGAAGCCCCTTCCTGCCCTGTGCTCTTTACCAATGGCACTGCAATACTGACAATCAGAAAAGAAGGGCAACAATATGGGCGAGTTCCCTGCTTTTAGCAGGGAGGAGGGCAGAGCCCCGTACAGGGAGCTGAGAGCTGTCCCTCACCTTGTGCTGCTGCCACCACCCTTCCCACCCAGGTGCCAATTTGCTACCACCTTCAGCAGCAACTGAGCATCCTCGTCCTCCTGCTGCACTGCCCAGCTCCCCCAGCCCCACTCTGGGGCCACAGGCTCCCCTAGCAGGGGCCATCGGGGCCACACAGGGCTCGTGGAGGTGCCAGGGGGAGCGCAGACCCTGGGGACGAGGAGCAGCGGGGTGGCCAGGGGCTGTTTTCAGCTCCTTCAGTGACACGTGGCCGCGGGCCAAGGGCAGATCCCAAGCCAGGGTCCCCCCACTCAGGCCACACAGGCGCTTTGCTGAGCATCACCTTTTGTCGCTGCTGCCGGGAGCTACTTCCTCGCCAGCTGGGGTGCCGGAGCGCTGGGATTCAGCCGGTGACCCCCAGTCCTGCCTGGCTGCCGGGTTACTGCATCCATCCTGCGGGGCTGGAGGGGTGGGTGGGGCCGGTGTACTTGGCGAAGGTGGCTGTGGGGTGAGGCTGACCTGTCTTCCAGGGGGCCAGTGATGCCAGGGGCTGAGGGGCAGGGGTCAGCCCTGCGGCTTTCCTGGCCCAACTGCTCTATCGTGTCGAGCTGGGGAGGAGAGAACGCGTTGGCTAAAGCACGGGGCTGAATTCAGCATCCCCAAGCAACCCCCTATACCCATCTCTCCTGGGGAAACTGAGGCATGGCTCCCCCACCCCAGATGCTCAGCATCGCCCTCCCAACCTCAGTCAGCCCCGCCGGATCCCTTCTTTCTTCATCCCTACCTTGCTGGGAAGCAGGGTGGAGGGCTGGAGTGCCTGTGGGGCGCTGGGCTGGAGAAGCTGGAGGTGCAGGCTGCGCTGCAGCGGGTGTGTGAGGGGATGCTGGCCCCCACACTGCCGTGGCAAGGTGGGGTACCTGCATGCAGCCATCCGCTCCCTGCAGGATAGGGTATGGGGACACTCAGCACCCAGCACGCAACTCGGCACATGTGGCTTCAGCGCCACTGAGAGAGAGGTGGGGCAGCACAGTGGGGAGGCTGTGAAACCCCCAGGCCTGGGGCAAGCACAGCTGAGCCTCTGTGGCACATCTCTGCTTCCCTGCCCTGCCCAGGGAGCAGAGCCCTTTACCCCGACTCAGGGAAGGACTCTCCCTTGCTGGGACAGAGCCATCCTGCAGCCCAGGGATGGGGATGGGTCCCATGTCCCCTACCTGTGGGTTTGCTCTGTCTTTAAAAGAGGGTGGGATTGTCCAGCGATGCGAGGGACCAGAGGTGGAAGTGGTGGGATGGGCGGGATAGGCCTGGGGAGGGCAAGAGCCATCAGTGGGTGACAGGCGACAAATGACCCACCCTGGCTCGTGGCAGCACCCCGAACCCCATAGGCTTGTACCTCATGGCATCCCCTGCCGGGGAATTTTAGATTGGATATAAGGAAGAAATTATTTCCTGTTAGGGTGGTGAGGCACTGGAATGGGTTGCCCAGGGAAGTTGTGAATGCTCCATCCCTGGCGGTGTTTCAGGCGAGGTTGGACAGAGCTTTGGGTGAGATGGTTTAGTGAGAGGTGTCTCTGCCTATGGCAGGGGGGTTGGAACTAAATGATCTTAAGTTCCTTTCCAACCCTAACGATTCTATGTCATATTGACACAGGCATCCTCAAAGAGGTGAGCAATCATTTTCCCATTGAAATACAACCCATCTGCAGCAATGACATTCATGTGGAAGAGAAGAACTAATATATCCCTTAGTGGACTGCATTTGTATTTTAAATTTCCACATCAGCCCTCCAGCACCACGACCTGGTGAAAGGTGGCAGCAGCTGGAGCAAGCCTCAGCGTTTTGCTTCGTTGCTACCCACAAATCAAGAGCGGTCTCTTTGTTCAGTCTTTAGTTAGTGAAAATGTTTTAAACAGATTCTTTCAGCTGAGTACTTGCCTTGTTTTTCAAAGATGACACATGCTGGTCGTCAAATGGCTGATTTATAAGATTCTTCATAATTCACTAATAGCTGTATCTCACTGGTTACTTTCTACTGGAAGAGGAAGCAAGAACAGTTTTTATGAATGACCACACTCCTAGTATGTGTGACATTTCTTCGCAAAAAGAAAAGTTTTAATAACTGTTATCATTTTAATCAGAATTGCATGAAGAATGCAATTTAGTTCAGTAAGACCAGCTACTCACCAGTGATTTTTCAGTTGGGTCTACAATTTTTCCTATGAACGGGATGCTTTGAGTACATTGATCAACAATTAACAGCAAAAATGTATGGCTGAATTTAATAACAGGAGAAACAGAATGAGGAAGAAAATCTGTGCCAGTGACTGATACAGCCTCTGTGTCATTCTCATGAATCTTCAGCAGAGCCTTGTGAACAGCCTACAGTGAAATAGAGCAATAATTATTGTACGTGGAGGTCAGGGTGGGAAATGATTCATAGCAGCCCTAAGTTAATTCATCTACTGCCATTCACAAAAATTGCTGGTAGACCAGCAACCAGGAAGAAGGTTATAGGTCGTGGTGGTTCTTTAAGCAATGTTGTCTCAATAAGCAAGTATTTTCACATACAGTGTTCCTCACCACAAGTGTATGCAACACAGACCTTAGTGACTGCATACCTTGTGGAATTAATTGAAAGTAGAATATTCAAGCAAATTCCCAAGGAATGACAATTCAGAGGGAAAGGAAGATGGGCTCCAGAACTGCTCTATGTGTATCCCTAAATAGCACATGCATTACAGTTTTGCCACTAGAAATTCCACTTTGATAACTTTTTTTGTGTTGTTGTTAAATTATTTTTGGTCATTTTTAATCTTTTTGTTTTACTACCCTCAATACATTAGAATTTTGTAAGTGCTGCATTCAAAATGGTTGTAAAAATGTTAGCCTTTCTCTTCACTTTGTCTGTTTCTCCTCACATTATTTTCAGTAAATGGGATGTTTTCTTCAAGTCTGGTCATTTCACATAATTAGCACTCATCAGAGCCTTCAATGGCAGAAGAAGATTTTAAGTCCTTTAAAATTACAGAAGGCACATGTTAGAAAAAGGCCACATTTTCTGCTAGATATGCTGATGCAAGGCATTCCCAGTAGAGATATCCATGGGCACTTATTTTACATACAGAAACTGGACTGTGTTTAGTTTCTGGAACAAATGCTAAGCCCATCCTAGCCTTTGCTTCAGATGGAAGACAGTATCCTTATCTCAGATCTTGGAGAAGTCTGATAGAGTTTAAAGTTTCTTTATCAGCTAAATGTTCAGTTTAGAGTATCAGTTAGCTCTAGCAACAAGTAAAATCTCACAACTTATTTTAAGGCAAGACAATTGGGTATTGAGGAATGCACAGATCATTGTTTCTGCTGATAAACTTACTTTTGAAACCTTCACATCAGGTTTTCCTGTAATTCCAGACAGATCAGCCCAGTCAGAAAACACATTGGTTACACCCAGATTCATTAACATCTTCTTTAAGTCATAGGTGGTGGAAATTGATAGTTTTGGAATATACACTTCTATCCTGCTGTTAATTAAAAAAAATGATGATAGTTATTGCAATGAAAGTTGCCTTGGACTGAAGACTCCCAACTTGCTGGTGGTTCTTCCGTGCAAAAATGTTAGTCTTTACATCTGAAAAAGATGGTAACAAACATAACATTGGAAGATGATAAAGAAGTATGGAAGGAGAAAGACATCAGCTGGGCTTTCTTGTATGATTCTGCAACACGGTCACTTGGTTGGACAGCAAACAGCAATGGTGCCAGCATGTCTAGAAATAAGGTTGCTTTATTTTTTTTCTAGCCTTGAAGGTTTTTCTTTTGGAATTCACGCCCCTCTGAGGCATCTGATTGCTACCTTGCAGTATTACTACTTTTAACACATTGTATTTAAGACAAGGAAATGGAAACACTTCACATCAAGTAGAAAATGTGTGGGGAAAAAAAGATTAAGTTTCCCAGCTCACTGAGCTCTTCCTTCATCACCAGGCAATGCTTATTTTAATTTTTGCTGAAAATATCAAATCATCAAGTCTTTTGGTCTGTCCCTATTACCTATTCCATTGTTTAAATCTCCAATCAAAGCAAAGGCTAGTAACTGTAAAATCTGATCATAGTATTCAGACTTTGGATTCTATCTACCTTGAATCATCAAACCAGAATTCTGTATTTACCATCTTACAAGTGATTTTTTCTATTGAGACACAGTGTCTTTGGTCAGGGCATCTTCCAACTCTTTCATTTTTCCTTCATCAGGCAGGATAAACGATGCTGTAACATCTCCCTTGTAAGGAATCTGCGCCACCTTGCAAGAGAGCTTCCTGTCAGAGTATGCTTTATAAAATCCATCTTGAGTCATCATCTTCACTTCAGCTGAGGTCTTCTCATTCACATGGAAATAATCCTTGTGATTCCCCTTAATACTGAAAGGATTTTCCCAGTAGACTTAAAACCAAAATAGAAAGAATGCAATTGAATGCTTGTTTCAAGGAGGATATAGTAATACGGTGCAGTGATGCACGCAAGATAAACCCATATAGATGAACACATATTTGAAGATTCACACTCATATTTGAAGTATTCCAAATTTATTAAAGATCTTGTTATTTCTTATCTTTGCTGTACTGTGCTGAGTAAAAACTAAATATCCCAGGTTAAATTATGTATAGACTTGTACAACAACTTTTTATGTTGGATAAATTAAAGGAAGTAACTTCATCATATTACCTTATATTTTATTTGAAGAAAATGAAAGCTGATCAGGATCCAGTGAGTGCCTTTCTGGTTTCAGAATATTGTTTGTAAAAGAAATTCCACAGCAGATGTCTGCCTTTTAAAAGATAGCATGGTAAGCTCCTTATATATGCTTTTTCATATGTTCTGTAGCACTAAAGAAAAGCTTACATGCAAGAATAACCTGGACTTTTGGGTTCATAACTGCATTATGTTAAATGGAATAAGGCTTCAAGGGCTTTAATCTTTAAAATGTTTATTTCGTGATGTTTGTTCAACTGAATTTTCTATGATATTTTATTTTGTATTAAACCAGTTCATTCACTGAACAAATACAGAGGGATCACTGCTTGCCATTCTGTAAGTATGTTCTCTTTTTTTTAATGTTGAATAGAAAAAAAATAAAATTGGAAAATAAATAATGGAATAAACTCCACAGTAGTCTGCTTACTTTATAAGTTTCAGCTTTCCTCCTGCTTGCCCTGTAAAAATATACATTCTGTTATCATAGAGAAATGCCTCAGACCAGGGCATCTAAGATTAAGGAATCCAGTTTAACAAAGTAATTGAAATAAAATTTGTTTTACTGAAAGTTTGTCGATTTCCAAATATGTTTTTCTGGGAGGTAAATTCCAGGTATGTCCTGCATGCTGCTACTAACAAATATAATGTGTAAGAGGAAGTTAACTATTGCCAGAGCAATGCATTCACAAGTTCTGTTGTGCTCTAGCAATTCTCTAAAATCCGAAGGTTGCAAATGAGTGAAATTTTATGTGTAGGAGCATAAACATATGGTAAGAAAACATATATGTAGAAGAGGTTTCAAAGCATGAGAAATTTCAATGTTTCTTACAACTTCTAAAAATAATTCAGAAATAATGTGAAGTATTTGTTTTAGTGCAGGTGAAACTGAGGTACTGCTGTAAGTAACATCTATGTAACTTACCTTTGAAATAAATGTAGTTAACAATTACCAGTAGAGTGTTCGGATCAAGATCTGTAAGTATTTGGTTTACATTCACATGGGTTTTGTTCTTTATGTGACCATTGATCTCTTTTTTAGCTTCAGTGGAATCTTGGAAGTTACAAGAAACCATTTCTCCTTTGTACAGTTTTTTCACATCCTTCAGAAATGCTTTTAGTGGCTTCAGGTGTTTGTCCATGAACAGGGTGTTCCCTGTGCTCAGCTGCACCTGGCTGGCAGGGCAGTCCAGAAAGAGGAGGAGATGATGAAAGCCCTTCTGTATCTCCTCCTCCTGGGTGCTGCTGAGGTTAAAGGTCAGCCCTTCCAGTACGTGAGCCCAGCTGGTGGCTCTGTATCCTAGAGCTAGCAGGGCAAAGGCAGTAGAGATGCTGACCGGGGAAAGGAAGATGTTCTTGCCAGGTTTCTGGATGGCTGCTTCCCTATAAAACTTAAAGGGAAAGTCTGTGTTGCTGGGGGCTCTCTGTTGGCAGGACTCAAGAGAATCTCTCTCACAAGGATGCTCTTCCTGACAGTCAGTTACCTTGGGCTCTTCATTGTGGTGGTCGGTCTGGGTCAGGCTGTGGACAGTGATGTGAAGTGTGGATGCCAGCAAGCAGAGCAGGAGGGTGTCCTTCATCATCCTCCACAGCTACTGCATAGAAAAAGGATGAAATGGTATTGGATGCTGGAGGTCAGCTCTGTCAACATCTCATCTTTCATTTGTATCTGCTACTATTTTCAACAACTATCTGATAATCACTGTTACCTCCTGAGCTGCTCCTTTATAATGGAAGTGTTTTTTAAATCCTTGTGCTTTTATCTATAATTCCTATGCATCTCAGCCTACCTGTGTTCTGCTTTCTCCAGCTACAAAAGTCCTTTGTTACTGCAGGAACAAACATATGGTGAAAGAAACGTATTTGTTGTGGTTTAAGCTCAGCTGTAAATCACACAGTCGCTCTCTCACTCCCCCCCTTTCTTTCCCCCCTCCCGGAGGGATGGGGAGGAGAATAATCGAAAGAATGTAACTCCCATGTGTTGAAATAAGAACAGTTTAGTAACTAAGGTATAACATAAACCACTACTGTTACCACCAATAATAATAATAATAAGGGAAACAACAAGGGAAGAGAATACAACCGCTTACCACCTGCTGACTGATAATACCCAGACCAACCCTGGCAGTGAACTAGCCCTTCTGGGTAACCCCCCGTTTACATCCTGGGCATGACATGCTGTGGTACGGAATACCTCTTTGGCTAGTTTGGGTCAGGTGTCCTGTCTCTGATTCCTCACGGCTTCCCCTCCTCCCTGGCAGAACATGAGACTCAGAAAGTCCTTGGTCAGACTAAACATTTGAGCAGTAGTTAAAACACTGGTGTTACCAGCACTGTTCCCAGGCCGAAACCACAGCGCTGCACCAGCTACTAAGAAGGAGAAAAAATGACTGCTACTGCTGAACCCAGGACAGTATTAAAGAAAAATATGAATCCCAGAGAGACAGCAAGTGAAAAGACTTTTTTTTTTTTTTTTTAATTTTCTGTCTCTGTGTAAATTTGTTTTACAGTGAGGCAGCTCATCAGGAGTAAATCTTAATTCTTTTATGTTTATCAGGATTATGATGTTATTAGTAATTGAATGAGGCTTATATGAAATGATAGTGCTATGTCAATGGAAAGCAATATGAGATTGCAGCACTCACAAGCAGTAGTCTTTCTCTCATTCCTGCCTCATTTTAACATATGCAAGTGACATCACAAGACAACTTGTAAAGATTTTCTGCTTCAATACTAGGTTAGATCAGAACATGTTAATTTATTTTAAATGACTGCTCATGTGACAGATGTCTTCCAGATAGATTCATCTCTGTGTGTACACCCCCTATCCTGGTGACATCACAGGTATGGGCTTGGCCCCTCTTTCCAAACTTTGTATCAGCAAGAAAGTCTACTTTCACAAGGCAAGTAAACCAGAGTAGCACTGAGCAATTAGCCTGGATTATGGCACCTTGGCCATTTCTGATAACTGTGACCATTTCTTTCTTTATTGATTTCTCTTTTACTGGGTAGACCATGAACATACTTGAGTGATTTGTACTAAGATGTCTAACCTGTCAGAAAACAGGTAAGAACTATTACACCTTAAAAAATATACTAATGGCTAGAAAATCAACTCCAAATAGCATTCACCTAATGTCCTGTTGAAGCAGAACAGCCTCAAGGAAGACAATTGCATGGATTACCTACTTACTCCCTAGTCAGGGGCAAAGGCACTGAAAGACACTGGTTTAGCAGGGCAGATGAGATGTTTATTGTGATTTCCTCCACCCTGGGTCAGCACTCTGACCACCAAGATTTGGGTGAAAAGGAGCTAGCTTGTCCTTCCGCAGCTTTGCTCTATGAGATCTGAGTAAGTAGAGACTTATGGGGGAGGTTGGCACAACAAAATTGACTTGTGAATCCTGTCTAGACCATGTTGATGTAAATAAAATGGCTTATTCACCTCACTTTCAATTAGCTGGTTGTAAACCTTAGGGAGTATAAGTAATAGATAAAACACAGGTTTGACAGTTAGTAGTAAGAATACTTCACCCTTTTTAATGAAACGGCTTCTAGATGTGAAAGAGCTATTTGGGATAAATCTTCAGATCAGAATTATGCTCTAGAGCTGCAATAATGTATCCCCGGAATTTGCTATTCAGTATTTCTTGACATTAATTCTGCTGTCATTTGAGTGCTTAGAAACGAGATTTTGCCCTTCAAAGTGGATGTGATTCATGACACATGACCTAAATGCCATACAGCTGCATCAAAATCTTAAAGGTAAAGATAACTGGGTACTTACATTACATTCAGAAGGGTCTTGCTCTCTCATGGGTTGTGCTGTTTCTTCCTGCTTTACCCATAGCTGTTTTCCTCTGTTAAACATTACATGGCTTCAAATACCTATTATCAAGAAGGAAAAAGCTGGATGCTGATGAAGCTGGTTTTCTTGGACATCATTATGTGTATGTTCACATCTCTCCACTCTAAAAAGAAAGCAAAGTCCATGGGGCCTAGCTAGTCATGTTATATGCCAAGGTATGCAACTCTTACGCAAATATTTATTGGAAATATCTTGTTTTGTTTTGTTTTGTTTTTTGTACCAATTTGGGATTTTTTTTCTGTACCAAGGGTAGCTACTTTGCTCTATATGCTACCTGAAATAGATAATAATTCATCTGGAGATGAATCTCATCTGGAGATACACAATTTCAGCACAGCACTAAGCTCTGAAGGTCAGAGCAAGGGAGCTGCAGCTTGTGTGTAGCTATGCTACCCAGCCTACTGAACTGCACTTAAGTCTAAACATCTCATCTTTTATTTCTGTGCAGTAGAGACCCCACTGGTCACTATTTAGAAGCCAATGAGTCCTCTTGGTCTCATCAATAAAGAGACTACCTCATTCAATTTTGTAAGAATGGTGCCTTTTAGCTGTAGTCTTGTATTCTTTCAGACGCAGTGTTTTCTCACAAGCTAACAATTCTCTCTATCTCTGTCAAGGACCACCCAATTATCAAGTTCTGTGAGGAGCTTAGTGTAGTATTTAGCAATTGAAAAAGCTGTATAAAATGTGTGCCATCACTGAGTGTCCAAAAATGACACTGAATGAATGCAACTGTTGTAACATACATAAACAGTAAATCAAGGTACAGTCACAAATCTCTCAAAGAATAACAAATAACAGAAGAGAGCAACCCAGTAGCATTAACCAAGGTAGTCTCAAACAACAAGCCTCAGCCTTCTTGTAAAAATGTGTTTCAATTTTCTAGGATTATTCCAAAGGAAGGTAAGTGCTGTGAGCTGGCTGACCAGCATTCGTGGCTGGATGAGCTGTTTCGGTGTGTGGTTTGATCAGCCAGCTGGGAAAATGCCTGCTCAGTCCTTCTATGCCTCTGCTGCACCTTGCAGGACTTGTTACCATCCACTCAGGAAGGCATGGTGTAGTTCCCAGGATCCTGCAGAGCCAAGGAGTTGTGCAAGTAAAGCAGTGTAAAACATGCCTGTGCTCAGTCCCTTTCTGTGTTTCCTTAAAAGGTATTTCTTTATCTACCAGGATCCATGGCCTTGGCCACACATCTAGGTTCCCTGCAGATTGTCTAAAGCCTTAGCACTTTTTTCTTCATAACACAGCTGAACTCTGTGTGCTCTTTTGGGATATAACCAAAGTTTGCAGTTAAGTAGTTTGAGTTTGTGTTTTGTTGTTTGTTTGTTTTTTTCTCTTACTAAAGTACCAGTTGTTGCTGTCTCTTGCAAAGCTTTGTAGGTCAGGTGGAGCTTGATGGAGCAGACTGTTCTATTTTGCCAGCCACAAAACCACTTCGTTTGAATTGCATAAATGTATAAGCTAGAAAGCTTAATTGCACAAATGTGGCTTTTCAGGAAAAAAAAGGATGCTTATAGTTCTCCAAAACAGTTAGGCTGTTGGCTGTTCTGTTCTACTTCTTTATTCATACAGCTGAGTGGTGTTAAGCATTTACACTTCTGTTAAATATTACATGGATCAAAACAGGATCTGAGGATGCAGATAAATGCTGTTATGGCCACGCAGAGCAGGTAGAAGTCTGTGACTGAAGGGACAGCTCGCTTTAATGTTTCTGCTCCTGAACGGGCATAATTGCCATAGACAAACATGGTTTAGGGAGAAGAGGCTATGGCAGTGAGCAGCTGTTCTACCAGATATGTCTTTAGCACTTATACCTCCTTAGCTTATTGCCAGCTAAAACATCTCCTGCGGCAGGTTGTGGCCTGCCTTGGGGCTTTAGTTTCCTGACCATGCAGCTTGGACACCTGCTACAACATGCTAAACCAAGCTAACTTTCTGTTCTATTAAATCTGAGCAAAAGGGGTAATTAACATGCAACTTATTCCCCCCCCCCCCAATGAATTTGGCATCAGTTTAGAAACAGTCACACTCTGATGTTCTGCAGCTCTTTCAGAATCTGCCTCTCTTTACCTCAGCTATCAGTGTTCTCATGAGATGGTGGTCTTAAGAGTTCCATCATCCTATGAGGGAGGTTGGCAGAGGTTCTACAAGCCAACAGCTAGTCCACCACAGGGCCTGCTTCTGGAGACCATAACATGCAAAATATGCCTACACTGCTACTTTGATTCACGCTGTAGTTCATTCCTAAATATGTGACTGCACTCATGCTATTTTACTCTAAGTGTCTCTGGTATGAGCTGCCTAGCTTGAAGAAAATGTTTCAGCTCCAAAACATCAGTAAAGAAAGGATATGAACGCATTTTTCATTCATTAAATCTTCGAAAGTTTCGTGTCCATGTATAGTATTAATTGATTCAGAGAAAAACTAAAATTTATGTATTTTATCGAGTTTCCTGTGTCATGTGGAAAGCAAACTTCTTACACTAGAATGGCTGGAAGCATTTTCTAAATCCATGTTTACGAACCAAAGCCAAATTGTTTTAATAATAATCTGTACTTCTTGCTTTCATTTGGCAGCTGCTTGAAAGAAAAGGTACTTGATATTTGCTGGCCAAGTCCTGTTTCTATGCATAAGCCCTGCTGGAACTTAAACAGTGTAATTTTAAAACTCCAGCTTTGAAAACTCCAGTTATGCTGGTGGAAATTTTGTCCATGGAA